AAAAACAAGCGCAAATTCAAACGCGATTTCAATGTCACATATTGACAGTGGCTCACCGATGCCAATGACATAATTACCCAGCTACATTTCTGAAAGAATGCAAAAGCATTGACATATATTTTTCCTTCCTATGACAGCCCAACGAGATTTTGGTAGCCCGACTGGAAAAATCGCTAGCCCCGGGACGTCAGGCTAGCGATTTTGCGAGCCCTGAATCTACAGTAAAAATAACATTGTTGACCCTCTAGAGTTGATGGATGCACATATCACTTACTCATTTAAGTCAAACTACCACTTTCTAATTTGTGTTGAAGTCACATTCAATGCAGGAAGAAACCATAAAAATATTTTTTAAGGACAGAGTAGAAGAAACTATGACTTCACTCTCGTATCAGTGGAAAAAAGCACCACAATAGCCAATCACAAGATTATATGGGAACATGTGGCATTTGGTGGCTCTGGAAAAAAAGGGGACGTTGTGGGAGTGGCTTCAAAATCAATAACGGTGATTTTAATAGTGAGTCTTTAGATTAGTGTGTTTAGAGTGCATGGTTATTGTGTCATGTAGTCATTGTTTGCTAAATTTGTATTTAAATGCTTGAAATTTTCAATTTGTATTTGCATTTCAAATGATGAAACTGATTAAATGTATCTTTGGGTTTCACAGCAAATAATCTCTTCAGTTTTTCTGTGATTTATTAATACAGCATATAACGATAAATTTTAACATCTTTTAAACACTTTACTTGGATTTTTCCAATTATCATACAGAACATTTGTATTATTTTACAGATAGCTACATCCCTACAAATCATAAAGACAGATAACACCAAGACAAGAAGAGAGAAAAGAAAACAGGGGTGCACCTCTCAGTTTTTACAGGCCTGTTCAAGGACAGACAAAAACATTAAAGGTTCCCTTATTCAGTGGTGATGTGATGGAGCAGTAGTAGACTTCCTTTTAAATAAAATCAGGCGTCTCGCTAATAATGAGAAAAAGGCAATGACCCTCTGTAAACGGGAACAGAAGTATACCAGAGAAACAACCAAAAATTGCCACCAAGGGGGAAGGCGAGATGTTATAGGCACAGGCTTTAGAGATGACTTCAAAACATGATGACCAGAAAAGAGCAATTTTCAGACAGGACCAAAACATATGAAGGGAGGTAGCTGGAGTCTGTTTGCATCTAACACACGATGGGTCTATGTTTGGAAATATTGTTGCTAGTTTAGCTTTTGAGTAACCTGTGTAACACTTTGAATTGTATTTAGGAGTGTCTTGAACAGAGAAGACGAGTGGACCCTGGAATGTTTAGATCTTTCCAGAGATCTAACCAGTCTGGTGATGGTTTACATCACTGAAAATAAATAATTGATTCTTGGCTAGACCATCTGCTACTGGTTTGATGAAAGCTGCCAACAGTGAGGGGCGAGCGGGCATCGCTGCCTGGTGCCCTCTGGAGACTGAAGCTGGAGGATGTTTGGTCATTTGTTCTGACACAAGCTGCTGGGGATTATTTAATATTTTTAACCAGTTTATCAAAGAGTTTCCGAAACCAAATTTGTGTAAAGTTGCAAATAAAAATTTCCAGTTAACTCTGTCAAATGTTTTTTCTGCATTTAGAGACAATATTGTGGTTTTTACTGGATGAGTAGTCTATTAAATTATTCTACGTGTATTTGTTGATGAGGGCCTACCTTTAATGAAACCAGTTGGTCAGGATGAATTAAGAGGGGGGTTTGCAGATTATTTTATGGTCAACATTAATAAGGGACGATAGCTCGTGGGAAACACAGGGTGTTTGCTGGTTTTAGCAGGAGACTAATGTTGGCAGAATTCATATTTGATGGTAGTCTGCTGTTTTCCTTGATTTCCTGCAACGGTCTGTGGAGTACTGGTGCCAGAATCGTCCAGAATTCTTTGTAGAATTATGTTGGAAATCCATCTGGACCTGGAGCCTTATTATTGGGCAGACTTATCAGAGCTTCCTGGAGTTCGCAGGTCATGAACTCACGATTGCACTGGACATGCACTGGAGTGAGGCTTGCTCTTATCTTTGAGATGATGTTCTCAGTTCCTGATAACAGTGCTAAAGATTCTCTCTGTCATGACTTGAGCAATTTGAGGTGCATGAGCCTCCTTTCAGGCTGTGCCTGTGCTTAATCCAGCTATTAAGTGGCTGTACCTCAGGTGGTAGAGCAGGCCACCGACTACCCGAAAGGTCGGTGTTTCAATCCAGTCTGCGTGCCGAATATCCTGGGAGATGATAGTAACCTCATGTTGCTCTCTGACACACCCATTGGAGCATGAATGTTTAACTTTATTATGACACTCCTTGCAGGTCCAATACGTTTTATTAAGTATACAAATAAACTTATCATTATTAAATATTTTATTTTGTTCCATTTAGCACCTTGAGTAAACCTTTGTTGTGATTTAGTGCTATATAAATAAAAACTTGTTAAAAAGAAAATAAGTTCATATGGTTGAAATCTCTGGATTCTGCCAGACCTGTAGTGCTTTTTCAAAATTTTCATTCAGCATTTACTGGTAATCCAGATTTTGGTGACCATTAAGTCACGTACAAGTGACACATGTTGAATGTGACACATGAAAATGAAGTTTTGTTCCAACATATATTCACATATATGCTGAGATCATATAGTGAGAGGTGGTGGACTAGTTTGTAATAAAACAGCTGTTTCTAAGGCTACGTCCACACGCACACGGGTATTTTTGAAAACACAGATTTTTCTATGTTTGAGCTTTTCGTCCACACGTAAACGGCGTCTTGGGTCACAGAAAATGGAGATTTTTGAAAACGTAGTTTTTGCGTTTACGTGTGGACGAGGAAAACTGAGATTTAGTCACGCGATGTCAAAGGCGTGCACCGTTTTTGACCTCACGCTGTGCTCACGTTATTGTTTACATGAGATTAATTTCTACAATGGTGGACAGAGACAAAATACTGTTGCTGTTAATCTGCCTGCAGTTTTTAAACACTGACACACACACAGTTACTGTCCCTCCATTTAGAAAGGCAGAGGCGCACGTGGCTTCTACATTCAACACAGACGCTCTCACAACTCAAAAACCAATGTCAATTTTGAATAAATTGAATTTGTAAAAAATTAAATCTATGTATGCTGTATGCATTTTGTTCATTATTAAGTTGCGAGTCTACACAACAGCCAAGCTTCTGTCTTTAGTTATTAACATTTGAAATGCACGTGTGGACGTAGCCTAAATATCTTATTTTATTGCATTCTTATTATGATTCTGTTGTGTGTCAGTTGTATCCGGGGAGGTGAAAGAGTTCCCCCTCATGTCAAAAACGTCACGTCAGTGAGTCACTCCTCACTTCCCTGACACTTGATTTGAATGACTGTATCTTGTTTTTCACATACTAATGTGGACTACTCTTTATTGAAATAAACTGTGTCTGTTAGTCGACCTATCAGCACAGAAACCCACCAAACCCAACCAGCATCATTACAGTTACAGGTCTTCTTATCCTAGAGCTGTGAAATATTTTAATGTTTGCTACCAACTAAGTGTAATTACATTCAGTCCTTCACCAAAAACATGATATACTCTTCTTAGTAAATTGATATTCACCACCTAGACATATTTATCCTACAAATGTTAGTCTCTATTAAACATAAGCAGATTTGAATTATTAGCTTTTTAATCTGCAGAAAGCTGTTTATGCTGGTGAAGCTCGGACTCTGTCAGACTGCTGTTGTCTCGGTGTTGAATATTTAATAAGTCTTTTCTCAGAAGCCGCAGCAGGTCACATCGACGCTGGCCATGCTGCACACTGATAAACCACACCAGGACGTGCACACGCACTGAGAAAGTCTCACATAGATTCACTAGTTGCTAAAGATAGAGCCTTCAATCCAGCCTTGAGATGATTATTTATTTTATTGCATATGATTCTATTGGCTGTTCGGGGTTGTCTGTCCGATCCAATCTTAAATCCACACTGGTGAAACTTTCATACTTCTGTCCTTTCTCGTCTCATCTCTCCCTCCCTGATTCTGCCTGTTCTCCGTCCTCTCCTGTACTGTAATCACATTACTCTCTCTCTGTCTTCTCTGTAGATCTGAGCGTACACAGAGCATACCCTGCCATCCTTGTCTGATGAAAGAGTCACGACATCTGCTTCAGATACACAGACCATATTCGCATACAAAGATGCAGCCCACTGTGGTTCTTCTCTTCTCCTCGATCTTCCTCCTGGCTTTCATCATCCCATTCTGCTTCTCCCAGAACGAGGGAGACCTGGTTGTTCAGACACGTACCGGTCGAGTTCGAGGCATCCGCCAGCTGGTGCCGGATCAGAGCTACATAACTGCTTTTCTGGGCATACCCTTTGCTGAGCCCCCACTGGGGAACCGCCGTTTCCGTCCTCCAGAACCCAAACGTCCGTGGACTGGAGTGATCGAGGCCAAGGAATACCCCAACGCGTGCTATCAGTATGTGGACACAGCATTCCCAGGCTTCCAGGGCAGTGAGATGTGGAATCCTAACAGAGACATGAATGAGGACTGCCTCTACCTCAATGTCTGGGTGCCCTCCTCGCCCAGACCTCACAACCTCACTGTCATGGTGTGGATCTATGGTGGAGGTACTTAAGAATTCACAAACCATACTGGGAATGTCACTCCAATTGTCATTGGAGCACTGGGTTAGCCGTTCCTGATATATTACATTAGAAAATTCCTCGTCTGTCAGATTATTTTTTATGTAGAAGGATTGAGGATATTACGCTGGGAATTCTAATCATTAAACGTCTTGAATAACAGTGATGAATTGTTGTAGTACGCTCTAATATTGTAGGTTAATGCTGTGATATTCCACGTTTCCAGGCTTCTACAGTGGATCTTCTTCTCTGGATGTGTATGATGGCCGTTACCTAGCTCACAGCGAGACAGTCATTGTGGTTTCGATGAACTACCGGATCGGTGCTTTCGGCTTCCTGGCTCTGCATGGCTCCTCCGAGGCTCCTGGCAATGTCGGCCTCCTTGACCAGAGGATGGCGCTGCAGTGGGTACAAGACAACATCCATTTCTTTGGTGGAAACCCTAAACAGGTGTGTTTCTCATTGCTTTATTTGTCAGGCCTCTGTTATGCTAGAATTATTATGAGCCTGTTTTGATTTAGTTTTCTGTTTGTTCTCTCTGTGAAACAGGTTACGATCTTTGGCGAGAGTGCTGGTGGAGCTTCAGTAGGATTCCACCTGTTGTCTCCAGACAGCCGACCCACTTTCACTAGAGCCATCCTCCAGAGTGGGGTCCCCAACTGCCCCTGGGCCTCAGTGAGTCCCGCTGAAGCCCGCAGACGTGCCACACAGCTGGCAAAGTTCGTCGGTTGCAACGGAGGAAACGACACCGAGATAATAGACTGTCTGCGCAGTAAAAGTCCACAGCAACTTATCGATCATGAGTGGCAGGTAATTTACACAAATTCTGCTTGACTTATCGTGTTGTTTGCAACGTGGACGAGAGACTTATTTTCAGTTTGACGTTTTTTAATTTCAAACCACTGGCTCTTTGATGCAATGGTTTATTACCTGTGGTTCCTACTAAGTGCACAATATGTTGTTAAGGATCAAAATCAGACCGGACTCAAACGCAAGACTCTCTCAAACAGTTCAGGAGAGTGTTCCCAAGAACACAAAACAGCCCACTGCTCTCCAGCACGGGCTTCTCCAACCAAGGGGATGTAGTTAGTAAGTTTTTCTCATTCAAAGCCAAGTTGCACAAACACGGATATAAGGAGCCGTCTTTCAGTAACTGAAGACCGAAATGGGAGGTCAGACTAACGAGGACAGAGGGACCATGCCAGTATGTACCTGTATCAGTCAGGGCTGCAACTGAAGATTATGTTGGTAGTTGAACAATCTGCCAATTTTCCTTCCATTAGTCGGTTAGCCAGCGAGTATTTCAACAACTCTCACAGTGCTGTGGGCAAACCTGTTCTAGTCTTCAGTCCTCACCTGCTCAAATCTGCCCACTCTGCTGTCTCGTTCCACAGAAAATTAAAATAATGAAACACATGAATTTGAAAATAATCAAATGTATTTTTAAAAGGACTCAATAGGACTGTCAGAATAAAAATCATATAAATAAAAATATTAGTTGCACAAATTAAAGTGCTATTAGTATTTAAATACAAAATAATGTGCAAATAGGAAACTAATTTGCTTTCTAGTCCAAAATAACAAGTTAACCCTGTAATGCTATAAGTTTCTGCGACCTCTGTCTCATCAACATCAATACTTCCCATAATTTCAAAATGTTGTGGACAAAACTCTTTTTTGTCTAAAATTAACATTGTTGCCAAAAATGCCCAATGTATCAAAAATATAATAAAAATATATCATACACAACACGACATAGCAAAAAAATATTGTGGATTTTGTTTTAAGGGTTAATAAACATCTCAGTTCAAAAAAATCTGAATTTTCTGGCTATTTTTTGACGGGTTGGGTCTGACGGGGTTAACAAAGTTTACAGATGATTCAGTAATGAATCCACAATTACTCTGAACATGTTCATCACGATCATTTACCAACAAAACAGATTTAGAAAAGACCGTTGCTCATCACATATTTGGTTATAGATCATAGTTTCTCATTAGGTGGAAGAGGTTTACTACAATATTAAAGTGTGAGATTTAAAGATTTACTATCACGTTTCATCCTGAGAAGTTTCTGACAGCTAATGTAAACATTACTGTAAAAACATTCATATAAACAACATGTCAATGCAACCCACTAACTTGTCAAAGGAGCTTGCAAAGAAAAGCGTCTGGACTTCTTTAAGTTGCTTGTCCCTCTGTGGGGGGGACACTCCCACTGGGTTTAAATCTGGGACTCCCCACCATGTGACCTTAGAACTGAAGAAGCTTCTCGGATGAGAGGTGAAACGTCTTCAAGCAACTTAAAGAAGTCCAGACGCTTTTCTTTGCAAGCTCCTTTGACTACGATGACCTGGATGACTGAGAACCTTCACAGACAACCCACTAACTTCATAAAACTGACCCATTTGGACATCGCAGCTCCAGCGTGCCAGCGTTTTAAATGCTCGTGCACTGCATCAGTGCTGTCATGGAAGGAAAGCTCTGCTTTGCACAGTCTGCATTTAACTTTGTTTGCTGTTACATGCTTGCACATTTTTTTAAATCTCCCTGTCGCCAAATCTTTATAATCAATGACGTCATGTTGACGAATCGTTGCAGCCCCAGTACCAGTATGTCTGTTACTGGGGTAAGTCACACAAAAGGAGTAGCTTGGTTCTGGAGTAGGAAGTAGCACTTCTTGGTGTTCAATGTTGCGTTATTTCACAGTCCCATGTGGGTTTGTCATCCATGCAGGTTCTGCCATGGTCCGCTCTGTTCCGATTTTCATTTGTGCCTGTTGTGGATGGCGAGTTTCTGCCCGACACTCCTGAGGCCATGCTCAACTCAGGGAACTTTAAAGACACGCAGATTCTCCTCGGCATTAATCAGAATGAAGGCTCCTACTTCCTGCTGTATGGAGCACCAGGCTTCAGCAAGGACAACGACAGTCTGATCTCCAGAGAGGACTTCCTGGAAAGTAAGGATGGATATATGTAACTGAGCAGAGAGAATTGTATAAATCCATCCAAAACATTCAAGTTAATTCTGCTTCAGGTTATTACGGCACAGTTTTACTTGTATCGTGTTAAAAACTTCAGTGTCACTCTTCCAGGTGTTAGGTTGAGCGTACCTCATGCTAATGATATCGGCCTGGAAGCAGTGGTGCTGCAGTACACCGACTGGATGGATGAGAACAATGAGATAAAAAATCGTGATGCCATGGATGACATTGTCGGTGACCACAACGTCATCTGCCCGCTGGCCCACTTCGCTCGCTCTTATGCACAACACAATGCCCTCAAGGCTAACGTGGGTGGCATCAACTTTGGTGGGGTGAACAGTGGAAACTCACAAGGTAGGATACCCGAGTACCAGTGTGGTCTGTCAGATCTAGAAGTATATATATCCCATACCCAGACACGCTACTGTTTGAAGGACCTGCTTTCTGGTGATAGAACAATTTGGTACGATACTTAAATTAAACTGTGCGTTAAATTTCATGTTTTCACTTTTTAATGCAGATGATAGCTATTTAAAATATGCTATAATGTGCAGGACAACTGTACAACAATTGAATCTGCATTTGTCATGTAAGCGATGTTGATACTCTGAAGATAGATCAGTAAAATATTCTAGTTGGAAAAATGATTTATTTTTTAACTGTCCTTGTAAAAGATTAAAACATATCTGTAGTTTCTGAGTAAAAATGAAATAATAATGATGATTAACTATTTATAATTGTAATTTTCATGCATTTTCTTCCACCATTTATTTCTTAAGGAGGGATGTATCTTTACCTTTTCGATCACCGGGCATCCAATCTGGCCTGGCCAGAATGGATGGGGGTGATCCATGGCTATGAGATTGAATTTGTTTTCGGGCTGCCACTGGTGAAGAGGCTCAACTACACCCGAGATGAGGAGAAGCTAAGCCGACGTATGATGAAATATTGGGCCAACTTTGCTCGGACTGGGTGAGGCCACAAAAAAAAAACTACCTATGGAATCAGGGTCTATGTCCACGTCCAGTCTTTTTTATGCAAATGCACCTCAGCAGCCATGTTTTTCAGTCAAAATAAATAATGCAGGAAAAGCTGTATGAGTAAGCAGCCCTTTAATTCCTGTGAGACTGCAGGTTAATGAGTCTTGACATGAATTTGGAGGCACAGAGAGCTTCTCCTGACAGTTAACCCTCATGCTACTTGGCTTAAAGGAAAGGCTTTAATAAGTAAATGTTAACGCTGCGAGGTACACAGTGGGGGAAATTAAATTATTTGATCTCCTTTTGAAATTGTATCCAGTCACAAAGAATTGAGAAAGCTACAATTTATTTTAATAGTAGCATAAAACTATCAGCAAAAACAAACATTCTGTAACAGTTACAAATTCATGTGCATTTTAGTGAGTGATCAGTATTTAATCAGCTTGGAAGACAATTCAGTACTTGGTGGAATGACTGCAGCAAGAAACACTGTCAGACATTTCCTGTATTCAATTCAGTTTTATTTATACAGCGCCAAATCACAACAACAGTCGCCTCAGGGCGCTTTATATTGTAAGGTAGACCCTACAATAATACATACAGACAAAAATGAAATGAAATAAAATTTAGTGATCCTTAGTGAGCACGTACATGTTTGAGCTTGAAACACACTCAGATGTGATTATCTGAATATGTTTCTCATTGAGCAAAATGGCTCAATGCGCCATGCTGCAATGGAACATGAAGTAGTGATGTACTACGAGTACCGACATCGACTGCAAGCAGAATTGTTGTGAATCTAACAGTTAGTTTGGAGATCATTTTACTGCTTTTTCGTTTGATTTAGTTGTAATTGCAATATCCTTTCTTGTTCTGTCTGTATCAGAAATCCCAATGACGTGCAGGGAGATAGAGGGAAACGCTGGCCTGTGTTTACCGTCAGCGAGCAAAAACACGTTGGCCTCAACACCGAATCACTCAAGATTCACAAAGGTTTGCGAAACCAGATGTGCGCATTCTGGAATCGCTTCCTGCCACGCCTTCTCAATATTACTGGTAAATACTATTAAATATTACTTCATCTCTACACTTGAAATCTGTACTGAATGCAGGTCTTCACTTATGTTCCACTTAAAATTATGACACTTCTCACTGGATGCATGATACAAGAATTATTTTAAACTAAAGTGGAGCTTTCCCACATAGCAGGCAGGTCTGGCCCGGATCTGGTGTCAAGCCGGCACTGCTGGCTGACTTCTGGCATGATAAGACGTATGTCATCCAGATATGGGCCAGGCCTGGCATAGATGGCACTGTTTATGTGATGGCATGCTCATAAAAAACAGGTCTGGCCCGGATCCGGCATCAAGCTGGCACTTCTGACTGACTGGTGTCATGGCAGGGTGTATGTCAACCAGATGTGGGCCAGGTCTGGCAGTGATGGCACTATTCATGTTCCTGTTTTCCTATTTTAGTTAGAAGACCCAAATGCCATGTTGCAATACTATACTGCTATGGTAGCCAACGTTTCAAATGCAGGTTTGACAGGTTTGTGAGTGTACACTTTATCCAAAACCTAGTGAGGGTTTACTCATGGTCACTACTGGGTGGCTGTAGCTCAGGAAGTGGAGCAGGTCAGCTACTGATTGGAAGGTTAGTGGTTCGACCCCTGGCTCCTCCAGTCAGCATGTCAAGAGTGTGAATGTGAATGAATGCAGTTAGGAAGCGCTCAGTTCAGAGAAAGTGTGTGACTGGGTGAATGTGGCATGTTGTATAGAGCACTTTGAGTAATCTGGGAGAGTAAAAAAGCGCTATATAAGAATCAGGCCATTCACTGTCTCAACAGAGTTTCGTCGTGTTACTTTTGCACTATTATGTTCCGGCACATGTTGTTATTACATGGCTTGATTAAGGTACACATTAGGCTGACATCTGGGGCCAGAGCTGAAACTGTTCTGAGCCAGCACAGGACCACCAGTGTGTCTGCAACTGGCCCATGTGGGGGCCACCTCTGGCAAACCAGATCTGGGCCACCAAAGGGCCGTCATTCTTTGCAGTATGTGGGTCATGCGTAAGTTGTGTGCAGCCATGGGCCAGTTGCAGACACACTGGTGGTCAGCCTAATGTGTACCTGTATCATTCTTTGCAGTATGTGGGCGAGATCCGTGAAATACCAATTTTGCTATGTGGGATGTAGCAGCTTGTGTCAGTTCGTTGTTTTGTTTTTCTTAAATAAATGCAGCTCCTCCTGATTGGTATCAGACGGTTGACTCCCCCCTTGAAAACTGTTCGTGGTGTTGATTTCAGACCATGAAATTATTTCATCATATCTTTATATGTAACCCCAATTTTTGAAAATTTGGGACATTGTGTAAAATGTAAATTTAAGAGAAGAATGGACCGACATGAAAATCTCATAACCCCTAGTCATTCACAATAGAAAACAGAAACTCTATCAAACTGAAGAGAAGACAATAAAGCAGTTTTCAAATTGATGATACCAACACATCATAACAAAGTGGGAGAGGACCACATTTACCATTGTGTAGCATCAACTATTGGGGTGGCTGTGGCTGAGAAGGTAGTAAAGTTGGTGGTTTAAAGCACTTTGACGGCTCAAGTAGAGTAAAAAGTGCTATTTACGGACCAGTTCATTCCCTCTGTATTGAACGACACTCTGAGGAGAGCAGTTGCTGGACTTTTGGGAGGGGAAAGCTCTCCCATTGATGTCTGGTACAGGATTCAAGCTGCTAAACAGTAAAAAGAGACACTTTCTATTTTGTGAAAAACATTAGCTCTGTTTGAAGTTGATTGCAGCAATACATATCAAAAGTTGGAAACACTAACTCTAAAGGCTTAGAAAGCAAGAGCTTCTAAAAATAGAACAGCTTGAAGATCATTTTGCAACTAATTAGGTTAACTGGCACCAGCACAGTAACATGACTGGATATTAAAAGGCAGGCGGAATTTCTCAGAAGTAAAGACGGGCAGTGTTCTCCAAGCTTTTTCTGTCACGTGACAGTGAAATGGAGCTTCGCCAGTCTGCAGAAAGCTGCATCTACAGATTGTGGAACAGTGTCGACTTAATAGTCCTCAACGTAAAATGCAAAGACTTAGATGTCTTATTACTTACAGTATATAATGTCCTTAAAAAATCATGGGAGAAATCTCTGTGCACGAGGGACAACGTGAAAATCAATCTTGGATACTGATCAGGCGGCACTGCATTAAAAAAAAACAGACATGATTCTGATATTTATCCAGAAATCACAGTATGTAAAAGGAGTTTACCATGCCATCCACAAATGCAGGTTAAACCTCTGCCATAGAAAAACTAAGCCATATGTGACCACGATCAAGAAAACCTGCTGTCTGTGCTAAAACTAATCTGGTCTGGGGGAACATGGAGAACTGTGGTCAGATGAATCAAAATTTCAAATTCGTTTAGGAAAACATGGACCCTGCATCTCTTGACCTAAGGAGGTATCTGGTTTGTTTAGCATGGATTTGGTATGTTACACAGACCTTTTATCAATGCTAAAAGGTATGTACAGCATTTAGAGCAAATAAACTCTTTAAACTTGGTCCTGTCCCAACTTCAAGATGCATTGCTGTCATCAAATTTAAAATGACCGTATTTTTTCTTTCTAAAATGTTACTCATGTTCTCATTTTAAACATTTGATATGTTTTCTGCATTTTATTGTGAATAAAATATGGGTTTATGAAATTTGGAAATCATTACATTCTGTTTTTATTTATATAGTATTGTATTGTATTTGATTCACATCTAAAATGAAACAGTGTTGTTATCGAGTTTGGGTGACTTAATTATCCAAGAGTAGCTGTAAAACAGCTAACTGACCATCTGTATTCAGTACATAGAACTGGACCCAAATGCAGACATAATTGAGACAGGGATAAGTCTTTACAAGCTTTTGAGTGCACAGGAATTCAAGATAGAGGAACACTGAAACATAGCGCGAATCTCTGCACCAATTTACTCAGAAACAAATAAAATACAGAAGAAAGCCAAACAATAACATAAGTTATCTAAGTGACTTGTATATCATGTTTAACCTGAGTGGCGAAAGACCGCGGGGGTCTGAAAATGATGTGCCGGGAGTCCGGTGTTCTCACCGGCTCTAGTGAGCCTTGAACCCTCTAGTTATCGAGCTGGTGGGTAACGTCTCCGAAAACATCGGAGAACTTTTCCAAATATGTGGTGTCTTGATAAACCGAGCAGATATTTGAAGTTTACACAGCTACATTCTCGCCTGAAAATATCTTAAAAGTTTATTTTGTGACCCAGAAAGAATAATAAGAGTAATATTAAAACTAACTAGCTGCCACCATTGTTGGAAACTG